ATCTCCCCTACAAATTGACCCGCCCGAATATACCTGAATTTTCCAGCGGAAAGTCTACCGAAAAAAAAACCATAGATCTAATTTTTTTATGGGACAATTTGGCTATTTCTTTATAATATATACACGTTATTTAAGCATTAAATTTTTTACGAAAAATGGTCTATTTAGGTGGCGCCAGGGTCGAGATATTTTGAAAAACCACATTTATGGTCTGATTTGTTTCAAATTTAGCATATTTAGTTGAAGCGTAGTAAGACATAGATTTGCAAAAAATACAACCGCTAGTGGCGCTGATGTCAAAATAAAATGAATATTCGACATCAAATGCATGTTTGCTTCACGTTAAAAATTCTTTCAAAAACAATTGTTGCATTCCCTAACTCGCAAGAAGTTGCAGAATTTACAGGAATTTACCAGAAAGCGTTCCCGTACTCGGTACTCTGGATTATTTTGGTTTTTGACAATTTTACAGGTTTTAGGCCAGAAAAGTTGGGGAACGCAACTAATATTAACAAAATGTTTTCAATTGACGCTAGGTAACGTTACGTCAGATAGTTCGGCTGATTAAACAAAAAAAGGTAAGGTTTTTACATTAACCTTAAATATTTTAAACATTACTACACAAAAATTTAAACAAGCAATCTTGCCCAATTCGCAGAGTTTTCAATTTTATAACTAAAGTCAAAATCCACTTCTGTTTTTTGTAACATCACGCCAGCGCATATGTTTATTAACATCTTTAAATCTCTACTACCAATGTTTGTTACTTTTTTACTGAATAAAGGGTCATTTAATTACTACTATGTAAATACATATATGTATCTAGAAAAAACGTTTAAAAACTTGATTTTTTAACTTTTTTTTAACATTTTACAAATGTCACGAAACGCCAGATTGGAAATGCCCATATTTATTTTCTTAATTTAAAAATTTCTAAAGGCAATTTTCTAATTTACTTAAATAGCCTTTTCATTCGTTTTAAGTGATTATCATTGCAAGTATAAGGGCCAGTTTTTTAGTGGCAGTTCAAACTTAAATTACGTAAACCGCGTTCAAATTGGAGAGCTGGCTGACACTTGACTGGCTAATCTTAGTTTTAACCAGCCAGCTGGAGCAAAGTCAAAAAAGGCATTTATTTTTTAATTTTGTTATATACATACACACATATGTCGGCCGCTGTGCTGTAGTGGTAAGCAGTTCGCGCTTCCACTCCGCAGCACCAGGGTTCAAACCCTGGTCAAAGCAACATCGCAAAAATATAGAAAACAAGTAAGAAAGTCTAAGTTCGGGCGGAGCCGAACATTAAATACCCGGCGCAAGTATTAAATATATGTTTTCCACCTTTCCGAAAGCTACCGCTACATGATAAGCCGGGGTGTATACATTTTAAGTAAATTAGCGTCCTTAAATTTCGAAATATTGAAATTTCAAGCATATCTGAAATTTACCGTTATATGAAAAGCGGCCTCAATTTTAGTCCGATTTCAACAATTTTCAA